GGGCCCATGATGATGAAAAATAACTTCCAACAGTGGGCTTACCTTTTTTAGCAGGCCTCATCGCCATCTCTGTTCTCTTTCTCTCTTTGTCTTTCTCTCTCATTGCAAAGACAACGATGTGGGTCTACCCTTTGCTCCGCCGTTGTCTCTATTTTCTCACGTTTCTGTCTCTTTCTCTCTCTTCTCTTTCTCTCCTGCTCTCTCCTCTCTTTTTTTTCGTCACGCGGCTCTCTCTCCTCTCCACACTCACGACGGCTCTCTCTCTCCTCCCTTTCACCCGCGTCTCTTTCTCTTCCTTTCACTCATGCCATGCACCCTTGTGACCACCTACCCTTGTGGTCCCTCACGTCATCTCTGTTGTACTCCCTCACGTCCATCCTTTCCTTCTCTCTTCCTGTACTCCCACGCGTCCACAAACTTCTCCCTGCCGAGCCACCACTCCCACTTACCAGCCGAGCAACCTCTGCTGCCCTGCCATCTCCTCCCCCAATCCACTCTGCCGCCCACTCTTCTTCATGCCCCAACCTACCTTCTACTTTCCGAAGCCATAGCCACTGCTCCCCTCTCTCATTACTGTCGGCCTTCGCACACCTCACTCTCCATGCTCTCTGCTCCTTAGCTGTCTCCTTCAGCCTTCTCCGCCATCCGCCTCTAGCCAGCCTCTGCCCCTTAGTCGTGCTTTTCAACCCACCTCCGCTAGCCTCTGCAGCAGCCTCCATCCTGCGCTGTTCTCTCTCTCCATCCATCCGTAACCCTCTACCATCTTCGCCTCTTTCACTACCCAACCTCAGCTGCCACCGCCGCCACTGTCGCCCCCTCTCTCCGCCATCTCACTCTCTCCCTCTGCGACTCCCTTCCATTCGCTCCCCCTCTCGCACTCTAAAAACCCACAAGCGAAACCTACTTCCCCTTCTTTTCTTTTTTTTTTTTTTTTTTTTTGTCCTTTTTTATTTCGTTTCGTTAACTTCGTTTTTTTTTTATTTCGTTTCGTTGACTCCGTTTCACACCCTTTTTTTGTCCTTTTTATTTCTCCCTCTCTAAATGTCCAAGCGAAATCCACTCTTCCCTTTCGCCTCTTTCTTTTCGTTTGGAGTGTTCGTTAGTTTCGTTTTCTCTCACCCTACTTCGTTCAACCCAGTGACAAACTAACTCTATCTCTCTCAATTAATCAACTTACTTTTTCCCTTTTTTACTCAATTTATATTTTATTTTACCCCATTTATCTTATCTTCTCTTACCCCCATTTTATTTACTTCATTAACTATTTTATTTTACCTCATTCTTCTTCTTTATTATTATTATTATTAGTACTTTTTTATTTTATTTTATTTTTATCACCTCATTTATTATATTTTATTTTTACTTCGTTCATTTTTATTTTACCTCACTCATTCTATTTTATTTTCTTTATTGTATTTATTTTATTTCACTAATTTTGTCCTACTTTACTCTACCTTATTTTATTTTATTTTTATTTTTATTCATTTATTTTATTTCTCTTTATTTTACTTCATTTTATTTACCTACTTTCTTTTATTTTACTTTCTTTTATTTCTATTACCTTATTTTATTTTATCTTTTAACTCCTTCATTTTATTTTACTTTATTTTATTCTATTTCTCTTGCTTATTTGTTTTATTTCATTCTAATTCCATTTTCTAATTGTATTGTTAATTTAATTCATCTGCTTCCATTTCATTTCATTTCACCTTATTTTAATTTTGACAAGTCTAGGTCCCCAAACCCGCTTGTTTGGATATCTTACGCGTGTGTGAGCAGGAACATAGAAAAATGAGTCAAGGGAGTTGATTCCAAACCGACAATAGGCATGGGGGCATTCTTCGTGTTCTAAGAGGGCGCCCATGCGAGCAGCTCGGACATGTCACGGACCCACGTGTGGTAAGTCCCGCCTCACGATCTTAATTCATCTTTCACCGGTTGGTACCCTGTCCATGTCTTCTTTACATGGTTCCCGAGAGAGCAATCTCCGGTCACAAGCTCGTTATGAACCCAGAACCCTGCCACTAGGTCATCCCTACTCGAGAGGCGAGATCGAAGTACTTAACTGCTAGAACCTTATCCTTCAGCTTCCTAAACATTATCTCATCAAACATAAAGATATAAAAAATATCATATAGTATTTGTTTGATTAGACAAAATTTTTTATATACATATCTAAACACCTTAGGACTCTATTAAGCATATCTTATTATTAATTGACTTGGTCAACAAGATCACCATGATCAACAAGACATGATTTAAAATAAATATCCAAAATAAGTGGGGTGTGGCCGTCTAGAGGTCCCTTAGTCGACCCCACACACATCCTTGGGGTCCTTGATTGGCCCTCCATGGGCTCCTATTTTTCATATGAATTTTAAAATAATAAAATTGATTTTAGTGTATGGGAAATAAACTTTATTTTTATCTGATTATTTAAATGCTAAAAATTGAATATTTTTAATTTATAAATTTATTTTAGGTGAAAATAAAATATCCAAAGTCTCACTAAAAATTAAATAATCATTCTAAAATTCAATTAACTTCAAAATACATAAACAAAATTTTTTTTATGGGAATAAGATCTTTTAAGTTTAGGAATTAATCTACACTTGTTTTTTCAAACTGACCTAGCAATTCCCATGACCTACAGACCAAAACAAGAGTTCATGATTGAGGTATCAAAGTCAATTAATAGGCAAAAGGACATAATCTCAATCTATGGATTACAAGTTCTACCCTAAAGACGAGGTTTAGGGTTACATAGACCATAAGCTATTACAGCTTTATGGTACATATGGGTAATCTCTCACATATAGGCATGCTTCACCCCTCAATGGTGACTTGTTTTCCCAATACGGCTATCGTACGCACATGCCATATGATGGATCTGTGACGAGGTTTTGACCATCATCTCTGAAGACCAACTATCTCACACAAGGGTCGCAGTCCTTGGCTCACTCTCCTAGGCAACTCCGACCTCATCAATAGATATCCTATAAACCTTAATCGATTTTGTTCCATGCCCATGTATTAGGGTTTTCCAACTTGACTAGCCTAACACGTCATGCTAAATCTGAGTATCGGCAAATAACATTTCCTTATCATGGTCTAGTATGACCATACTTCCACTAGAGTTTTTTGTTCCACTATATCATATACAATTATATGCACTTATAATACCTTTAATGGCCACATAAATCCAACAGAGAGATACAAAGGGCTTTAAAGAGATTGACTCCTTGAGTGCTAAGAAAAGAGTTTAAAATTTGGACTTATTTGAAAGAAAGTTTATTTTTATGATATCTAAAAGAAAATTGTTTCATGCGTTGGGGACTGCATTTCTACATTTGCTGTCCCCGAGGTATAAAGCATCGATCTTTTAAAGATGGATGCAAATAGGTAGTCCGTTTAAAATAATTGAAACTAACGATCCAAATGTTTTATTAATAGAATTATTATTATTAAATTTTCAAATCTATTTGTTTTTTCATATTTATGATTTCCATGTTAGAGATTACATGTCCTTAAAAATTAGGTCGAAAAATCCATCTCAAAAATATATTTTTAAGATGCGACTCTTTTCTACATGGACTCATAGAAACCATTTCCACATCTAAATACTTTTCTATATTTTTTATTCATAATTTTTCTCATATCAAATAGGAAAAATTATGTAAATATCCATTATATTTCTCATTATTACAAAAATACCTGATAGTTTCCACGTAGTGAGAGAGAAGCAGGGGAAATAGAGTTAAACCCACAGGACTACAATTCGGTTTTTCAAAAAAGAAAATCAGGCCCATTTGGGTTTCTGAAAACAAAAAATGGGCACTTCGGTATTTTTTCTAAAAAAAAAAGTTACAACTGTCAAATTTTAGGTATTTATGTAATAACGAAAAATTTTAGGTATTTTTGTAATTACGAGAAATTCCCCTATTAAATATTTTAAAAATTCTAATTTTTACAAAATTTTTAAGATTTATTTTTATTTTTTGGGCTTTTTAAATGTAGGGCTTAGCTTTAAATCAACTCGGCTCAACTAGACCTGGTTCGGCTCAGCTATATTAAGCCAGCTTGGCTGAATGAAAGTTACCTTGCTATGGTTAAATGGAACCATGCTAGCAAAGTCGATATGAACCGTTATAAGCTGAGCCGAGTTGAGATGAGTTGAGTTGAACCAACATCATAGTTAGCAAGTCGAGACTATCAATAAATTTACTCATCATAAAATAAAAAACAAATCGTTTTTTATTTTAAAAAGTCAAATGAAACAATCAAATAAAAAATATGAATTGGCAAAAATACTTCATATAAAAATATCACTAATATATCGGATTAGGTTTAAAAAATCAAAGTAAAAAAATCAGACAAATTTATAATATTAGAAATTTTGAAATTTTAAAAAATAAAAATTGTGTCAAAGCCATCAAGAACTAATTATTTCATAAATTTTTTACTAGACTAATATAACTAAGTCAATTAATTTAGATGTCTTGTGATTCTCGTTCAATCAACCAGTATTAAATATGTAATTAACTACTATATACTAAAAAATGTACTATAAAAGTCTGTCCATTTAATACTTTAAAAAACATCACATCTACTTATTACCTACCAAAAACAAATATATTATATAAATTTATTCATTAAATACTTTAATTATGATATTTTAATTATGATATGATGATAAATATACTATATAAATTTATTCATTAAATATTTAAACATCACATTAGTTAGAAGGTACTAAAAATAAATATACGAATTTTGTTTTCTCTACAATGATTTAACTATTTTTGGTTTCTCTACAATGATTTAACTATTTTTGGTTTCTCTACAATGATTTAAGACACTTGGTTAAAGTGTTATAAGGGCTCGTAGAAATAAATTTGGGTTTCACAGCTGTGTTTACGGTTTACAGAGAAAAAAGGAAGAGAATACGGCTTGGTATAGAGAGAAGAAGGAAGAAGGAAGAGGTAATCGGCTTCACAAACCCTAATGGAAGAGGCGTTAACTGATTAGAGAGAGAAAAGGAAGATGGGATGCTGATTTGGGATAGTTTGAAGAGGGTTTTTATCTGATTTGGGATGTTGTTTGAGAGAAGGCTCTAACTATACTTATTTGTGAAGAGGCTCTAACTGATTTTTAGGGTGAGAAAAGGAAGAGGGTTTTTCATTATGTTGGGGAAACAGCAGGGAGAGCTGAAGGATTAGGTTTGGGGAACTAATCCTATATGTACAATTGCTTGCTCCTGTAAGTCTACAGTTTACACTATATTGTTTATCTTTGTTATTACATAATCAAAAACAAAATATTGATTACTCGGTCCTGTAGTCACACACTCTGCTTCTCATTCATCAGTAAAACACTATGTTTTGAGCTCTAATCTGTGCCATAAACAATATTTCCATAAAAACAATTGTCACAAATAATCACAGAAATCTGCATGTATATGATTTTCTTTACACAATGATTTACTTTACAAAATGATCTGCTATAAACAGTATTTCATATACACAATGATTTCCATAATAAAAATTGAAATAAGCATCTATTTGCTTAAGTTTAAAAAAAAAGGGAAAAAAAAATTCATACCTTCAATCTGCAATTGTGGTTTAGAAGAACACATTGGGGATACAGATTTCTATTTTTGGTTTTTTTTGAAATAGTATTTTTTTTTGCAAAAGCATGAAAGTAGCAATGGCTGCAATACACAAAACAGGAAATAAAAATTAATCTTTCAAAAAAAATATAGCTAAAAAATATATGAATTTTTGGCCTGATTTAAATCGTATTATGAAAAAATTGCTTTTAAACGTTTTATGAAAACTGCGTGATTTTTTTTCGACCTTTTAAAAAACTCTTAGTTTAAAACTGTTTTCCATAAAAACGCTGATTTTTTTTTAAAATTGTCGATTAAACGGCGATTTGCTAACTATGACCGACATAAACCAAGCCGATACCAGCCAAGCCATGCCGACCTAGCCACCTACATCTGTCGACGACCTCCGTTTTTATTAAAAATAAAAGAAAAAAGAAAAACCAATCGCATTTACCTTTTCATATAAAACATATAGTGGAAATTTTTTCCTTCACTCCATTCGTTCGAGTTCTCTCTACTTGTTGCTTTAATTTCCTTTGATCTCTTCCATATGCATCTTGATTTGTTCTGTTTACGCTGGTTTTTTCATTTGGATTCATATATCACTTACTTTTATTCTGATTGTTTTTACTAGTTGCGATCTTGTTTGCTGCGAGGAAGTCTTTCGAGGAATTCTTCCATTTTATCGTCCCTCTCTCAATCCTCTATTGAAACCCAGAATTACTGTGGCACCGATGATGATGCACCGGCTTCAACCCCCAGCAAAGAAATACTTCTGTTTAAATCCCTTTCTCTCTCGACCTTCACCCTTCACAGACATTCTACGGTCTTACTCTCTTCATACCTGGTCCCTTAATCCCAATGCTTACCCTGATAAGATAAACCTAAAGAAACACAAGGTGACCCCTCCTCTCACCCGCTGGCCTTTAAAACTGTCACCCAAGAGGCTTATAAACATGATCAATCAGCAACAAAATGTTGACCTAGCTTTACAATTCTTTGACTATGCTGGGAAGTATCACCCGAATTTCTCACATAATCCTGACACTTACCACACGATCATTGAGAAATTAGCCAGGGCTAGAGATTTCAATTCCATGGAAATTACACTCAAAGAGTTGAAGGATTCGAGAATTCAATGCAGTGAAAAAACATTCATAGTTGTCATTCGAAACTATGGCTTTGCAAACAAGCCAAAAATGGCCCTTCGATCCTTTTTCAAGATGAATGAGTTTGGAATAAACAAGTCAATTAGGTCTTTTAATACTCTTTTGAATGCAATGATTCAGACCAAAAGGTTTGATTTGGTTCATATATTGTATAAGAATTGCCAGAAATTTGGGATATTTCCTAACATTTTTACCTGCAATATTTTAATCAAGGCTTTGTGTCAAATGAACAATTTGGAATCGGCTTTTAGGGTTTTGGAGGAGATGCCAAGCCAGGGTTTTGTTCCAAATCCTGTAACTTACACTACAATTTTGAGTGGATTTTGTGCTCGTGGTGATTTGATCAGAGCAAAAAGAATTTTTGATGAGATCATAACCAAAGGTTGGGTACCTGACCCTATCACTTACACAGTTATGATTGATGGGTTTTGTAAAAAAGGAAGGTTGATGGACGCGGTTAAACTCATGGATGATATGGAGGAAAATGGGGTTCTTCCAAATGATGTCACTTATGGTGTGGTCATTGAATCTTATTGTAAAGAGGGGCGATCAGGTGAGGCTTTAAGCCTTTTAAATGAAATGCTCGAGAAGAAGTTTATACCGTGCTCAACCCTATGTTGCAAAATTGTTGACCTTCTATGTCAAGAAAGCAAGGTTGATGAGGCTTGTGTGCTATGGAAGAAGCTCTTGAAGAGGAATTGCATCCCAGATAATGCTATATATAGTACACTCATATATTGGCTTTGTAAGGGTGAGAAAATTAAAGAGGCAAGGAAGCTTTTCGATGAGTTTGAGAAAGGGTTTTTGCCAAGTATTTTGACATATAATACACTTATATCAGCAATGTGTGAGAAAGGGGAGTTGCAAGAGGCAGGGAGATTATGGGATAATATGATTGAGAAAGGGTGCGTTCCTAATGTTTTCACTTACAATATATTGATCAAAGGGTTTTCTATCATTGGAAGGGGAAGGGAAGGTTTAAGGGTTTTGGAGGAAATGCTAGAAAAAAGGTGTGAGGCAAATAAGTCCACTTATGCCATTTTAATGGATGGATTTCATGGGTCAACGGATGATATTATGAAATTACTTGTGGCAACGACTAGTCGGGGTTTTCTTCTTGATTTGGATTCATGGGGTTTGTTTGTGGACAAAGTTATATGTGATAGGGAAGGGTGGAAATGTTCACTTGGAAGAATTTTGGAGTGTGCTGCATAGGTGTTTGGCCTACAATGAGATGCTCTTACGCTTATTTGCCCATATGAAGCTGCAATTCTCCATTGACACAAATGCACTTATAACTCTCATGGGTTTGAATTTTGAAGGTATATCTATGAGGTTAAACTGGATGTCGCATACGTACTAAATCTCTGGAGCCTGCTGGTTCTTCGGGTTTGGCTGATCATTGAAGGTGACTAGTGAGCTCTCAGTTGATGAAAATAAATTTTTTTGTCAAGTTCTCAAGCAATGTTGTGTATCAAATGTTTTGGTCAATTCTGTTATCATGTTTAGTTTGTTTTAGTATTCTTTCTAGAATTAACTTTATGCACTGTCTCAAGCAATAGAATATATTGTAGTTCAATTTGTATTCTTTTTATGTAATAGTTTCCTTATCTAACTTCAAAGAATGGACTTATGGTGCTTTTGTATATTGAGTCATGAAATATGATATTTTTTGTTTTAATATTAAACTTTGTATTTCCTATAGAGATTGTGTTCTTGAATTTTGTTTTTCTCTTTTTATTTTTTTCCATGCTAGATAATTTTATTGAAACCATTGAACTGAAATATCTACTGTATGTCTAGCCAATGCCCATCATGTGGATTGCAAATCTTTCAAGTCTTCTTTTTTGTTCCTTTTTTGTGATTGGTATAATGGAATGTAACCCATGATGGGACTTTTTTTTTTAAATGTTACTTTGTATAAAAGAAAAAAGGAGATATTAGTTTCTTCCTGTATAGATAAATAAGTATGTAGTATGTATGCATGCATTTGTTTAACTTCGAACATATATGGTCACACGCAGGTTTTAGGCACATCTGCCCAAAAAAATGTACGCAGCTATATCAAACACACAAATTTAGATATGAGGAAAAACAATTTAGCAATGTGAGGACAATGAAACACTTGCCATATGTAAAATAGCAAGTGTTTCTCCTCGTAGGTGACCATTTATCGTAGATATGTAAAATAAGAGGATACAATATGAGTGTTATTAGATAAACCCAATTGTAGACAACCCTAGTGAAAAGCCATTAATTGTTAGGAATCATCAGTAAGAAGGAATGCCTACCACACTCATCTAGAGTTGAGGTGAGTATAAGCTGTTAGAGAGTCTACAACATAAGATTTATGTTTTGCTTTTATCTAAAATCAGTGGGTAAGGAGTCTCCTACCTAAAATTGTTATTTAATGGAAAATCTTATACAATTACACTTTGAAGGGTACAATTTAATATATAAAGCAAAAGCATACTTTATTTCCTTCACAAAAAACATGAACCACCTTTACATTTTTTCCAGCTGAGCCAAACAAGTCAAAAGAGTTTTAGTAGCCATTCTCCTACAAAGAAGGATGGGTTATGCCATTTTAATGGATGAGTTTCATGAGTCAAGGGATCAGATTATGAAGTTACTTGTGGCAACGACTAGTCATGGTTTTCTTCTTGATTTGGATTCATGGGGTTAGTTTGTGGACAAAGTTATCAGTCATAGAGAAAAGTGGAAATGTTCACTTCGAAGAATTTTGGAGTGTGCTACTTAATTGTTTGGCCTACAATTGAGATGCTCTTACACTTCTTTGCCCATATAAGGTTGCAATTCTCCATTGACACAAATGCACTTATAACTATCACGGGTTTGAATTTTGAAGCTACATCAATGCGGTGAAACTGGATATTGCATACGTACTAAATCTCTGAAGCCTGCTGGTTCTTTTGATTCAGCTGATCATTGAAGGTGATTAGTGAGCTCTCAGTCAATGGAAATAATTGATTTTTGTCAAGTTCTCAAGCAATGTTGTGTATCTAATTTTTTGGTCAATTATGTTATCATGTTTATTTTGCATTAGTATTCTTTCCAGAAATAACTTTATACATTGTCTTGAGCAATAGAACGTCTTTTAGTTCAGTTTGTATTATTTTCATGTGATATTTTTTCTTATCTGACTTCAAAGAATGGATTTATGGTGCTTTTGTAGATTGATTCATGAAATATGTTCTTTCCTGTTTGAATATTAAACCTTGTGTAGTATCAGTGTTTCTTCACATGGACTTCTGGAAGCCATGTGGAAGGTTCTTATTTTCAGCACCCCACTGATGTTGTGGATGTGCTCGGAGATGGGTGTTTGCTCATTGGTATTAATTTCTATAAAAGATTTTCCCATAAGGAAGCTAGATGCAATATGGGATTGCTTTTATGCATGTATTAACACTTCACTGTAAAACATAATTGCATAGTTTTAAATTTGCATTTTTGTTATAGTGTTTTAAAATGCGGTCGCATCAGGCGCTATGCGCCACCCAGTGCATCGCACTTTCTCGTATATGCAGTTTGGACTGATGCGCCCACATCAGAGCTGCATCCCTCCGTATCAGAGTCGCATCCCGCATCGACTACATCAGGCCACATAATCTGTCCGCCATTTTTTTCAAAACTGTACCCCTCGGGCAGGGGCAATAAAGTCATTTTGACCTTTGAAAATGGGGTGAAAGGGTTTGGGGGTATTAAACCACCCAAACAGCATTTTCAGTCCATCCATAGCTTTTATTGGATGGATTAAATCAAAAAAAAATTTTGGGCAGAAATTTTACTAATCTTGCGAATAAAACATTAGGAAATATCCCAAATTTTCTGTAGTTCTTATACAATGTGTGACCTAAGTCAAACCTTTTGATCTGAATCATTGCATTCAAAAGAGAATTAAAAGACCTATCTGATGGCTTGTTTATCCCAAACTCATTCATCCTGAAAAAGGATCAAAGGGCCATTTTGGGCTTGTTTGCAAAGTCATAGTTCCAAATGATAACTATGAATGTTTTTTCACTGCATTGAATCTCAAATCCTTCAACCCTTTTAGAATAATTTCCATGGAATTGAGATCCCTAGCCTTGGCTAATTTCTCAATGATTGTGTGATAAGTGTCAGGATTATGCGAGAAATTGGGGTGATATATCCCAGCATAGTTGAAGAATTGTAAGGCTAGGTCCACATTTTGTTGTTGATTGATCATGTTTATGAGCCTCTTGGGTGAGAGTTTTAGAGGCCAGCGAGTGAGAGGAGGGGTCACCTTGTGTTTGTTTAGCTCTATTTTATCGGGGTAAGCATTGGGATCAAGGGACCAGGTATGAAGAGAGAGAGATTGTTGAATGTCTGTGAAGAGTGAACGTCGAGAGGGAAAGGGGTTTAAACAAGAGCATTTCTTTGCTGGGGGTCGAAGCCCGTGCATCATCATTGGTGTCATAGTAGTTTTGAGTTTCAATGGAGGATTTAGAGAGGGAAGATAGAATGGAAGAATTCCTTGGGTTGGGTCCCATTGCAGAAATGGGAAGAGTGCGTAGATAGGATAGGATAAGAATTTGGTGAGTGCTTATGAAAAGTGGTTGTGGAGAGAGAGAGAGAGATAGAGAGAGAGAGAGAGAGAGGTAACT